TTTTGGTATGGTTTCTTGTGTTGAAATTTAATAGAGATCCATACACTTATACATGTTATACTTAAGTTATTCTATGTGAACCAGACAAATAATTGTTTTGGTTTTGATTTTTTACTCCTAATTCATAAACAGCTACGACGATAGTCCCCTATATCAATCCCCCATCCTCCTATTGTGGTACATGTATGGAACCTTGTGCTAAAATTTCATACAGATCCATACACGTATGATAAAGTTATTGTCTGCGAACCAATTTATCTTCTATGAACCCGTAGAAAAACGACAGGACAATACTAGTAACCCCTAAAAACAATCTGAATCATCCTTTAGTGGTATGGAAACTTGTGCTAAAATTTCATAGAGATCCATACACTTATACTCAAGTTATTGTCTGCGAGCCAAATGTCTTCAGACGCAGACATCGCCATAACATAATACGGACGCAAAAATTTATTTGCGATCGTATAGAAAAGATGACAATACGAGACGAAGAAATTTGTCTAGAGAAACTCTATATATAAAACTAAAGACTAGGAGACACAAACCCTACCAAAAACATGGGTTTATCATTACTCATTTAATGAGCATATAAACAAAATCAAACAGCCTTTTCAAAGCTAGTAAACTATATTTGATAATTTGTTTATCCTCTTTAACATAAAGTGTCAATATGTTTTGTTTTGTTTTGATTGGATATCCGTCTAATGCATATGTTGATAAATTTGTTATCGTTATTACCTAAATAAACCCGAGTCATTAAAAAGGATTTGATATGAAAAATGAATTTGTTTTATAGGTTGTGAAGCCAATTATTAGCTTAAGACTCGTACACAATATGTCATCATAATATGTTTGATGAACAAGGAAACTACTACCGTACGTAGAAACCCGAAAGTAAGCAAAAATATTTTCATAAATTACTTCTCTTTAGATTTGTAGATCATATTTGAAATAAAAACTGTATATTATATACTTGCCCCCTATTCCCTCCAATTATTATGTCAAGCAGTTGCAAAACAAAATGAGAGACGAAATAAACCAAAGGGGCATTCAAACTCATAACTCGAAAATAAACTGACAACGCCATGGCCATCGTGTTATTCATGTACTAAGTAAGTACAAAGCTGGTGATATGTCTAATTCGGTAGGTCACATTCGGGAAGAAGGGGACGGGCTCGAAGTTACGATAATTGGAACACATCCGTCGTCTTATGTTAAACAGATATTCCTGTGATCCGTTGTTTTCTTGTTTCCCTTGGTTTTAGTTTCTAACCCTGATTTGTTTTCGCTTAAACGATTTATGACTATTGAATAGATGTATACTACTGTTGTCTTTATTCGATAACGGTCGATAGTAATCTCACGGGTAACTACAGATGAGAGTTTACAAAACACTGAGAGTCAATGTCTGATGACTGAATGGTTCTCCATTTATTTGTGTTAAATTTAATGAATGCATCATATTTAATAGATACAATTTAAAATACTGCTGCATTTAAATAATCTTGTTATGTCCATGGAAGCAGATATAAACAATTTAAGAACGCTATTTTGATCAATATATTCTTTAATGAAATAGGGCATCTATGTCTATTGTTTATTTGCTACTTGATTTCCGTGGTCGATGATGATAAAATGTATGAAAACAAAATTAAAGAGATAAAATAATGGTCATTAATACCATGTAATTCTTTGTAACCATTTCTGTTTTTTTATAAACTATTTTCGACTTAATAATTAACTCATTATAGATACCATAATTGAAATTTTGTATTTGCGCCAGACGCGCGTTTCGTCTACAAAAACTCACCAGTGACGCTCGAATCAAACAAAGTTAAAAAGACCAAGTAACATACGAAGTTGAAGAGCATTTAGGACCAAAAATTCCTAAAAGTTTTGTCAAATACATGCAGCTAAGGTAATCTATTCCTGAGGTAGAAAAGCTTTAGTATTTCAAAAATTCAAAGATTTGTAAACAGTTAATTTATGATTATGACCATATCAATAATGTGTTCATTACCTAGGATATAGCAAAAGGAGCAAAACCGAAAGCAGATAAAATACAAAAACGTTGTGATATTAATATAACTATGAATATGTACTTATCATTTATTCTATTCTGTCAAGCATCTCCAGAGTTTTTTTAATTGAAAATGCAGGACGAAAATAGGAAAATCCTATTTGTTTAAAAGTGATTAGTCATATAAGACTTTCTGTTTACCTGGTCACGTTTTCTTTCGTGAAATATTTAAATGTATGTATTAACCTCACCACTAGATCGACGTTTACCCACTCAGACAGTTCAATATCTTCTAATTTATTTTAAATACTACCTACTATATCATGCGAAATATATCAGTGGTATTTTGTTACCAATATAAGATTTGTTGAAATATGTTATGATTACATGTATACTATTGCGTCTATTCATAATATTTTTGAATGAACATTAATATTTAAAATTGAAACTTTGATTGTTTACAATACTAAGGCTTTTCTACCTCAGGAATAGATTACCTTAGCTGTATTTGGCAAAAGTTTTAGGAATTTCTGGTCCTCAATGCTCCGTAACTTCGTACTTTATTTGGCTTTTTTAACTTTTTTTTATTCGAGCGTCACTGATGCTTTTGTAGGCGAAACGCGCGTCTGGCGCAAATACAAAATTGCAATCCTGTTATCTATGATGAGTTTATTTACTACGTTCTTTTTATTTTTGTAAATCTCCTCATGCGCCGTTGCATTTTAATATAGCATATTCGTCTATTTGGAGAACGGAAATTGAGAGAAAACAATAGATGGGTCAGTCGCTGTATGAAAACTACTTTTGTAGTGCAACCACTAATATTGGAATTGACGACGACATTGATTTTATTAGTAGGTTGGGTACTTTGAACCGGATTTATGTAACTTATTTCTGTTCTTATGTCATTTCTGCTTTTGTTTTCTGTTCTATCGGATATATCATAAAGTTAAACCCTCGTCGAGATATATAATTTTTGTCTTTTAAGACATCCTTTGGTTGTCAAGTTAACTTGTCGACGATATACAGACTTTTGTCTTTTTAAGACACCCTTTGGTGGTCAAGTTAAACTGCTGACTGCTAAAATACGGACTTTTGTATTTATATGACACACTTTTTTTTTTAGGTCAAACTGTGTTACACAAGAATATATAAATACCTTTGGGATGCTATGAATAACAAAGAAGCTAATTATATTGAAATGCAAGACAAGACAACAAGACAAGACAATATTTTGTCATCTCTTCATTTTTATAAAACATACAAATGCATCACAATCTTAAAAATAATTATAGATATAATTAATTATGTAATAGTTATGCAATAATCAAAATATAAAAAGATACATCTTTCATCTATCTATTGGTTACTCATTTAAGAATATCGGAGCTTTATGAAAGAAATTACATCCTTTTAAAGTTGGCTGAGTTTGGTATATTTCGCCTCTCTTCTAAGAAGGATAATTCAGAGAGGAATAAAAGTCATGACATCTGTTAGTAAACCTAGATATATGTGTAAATCAAATGAAAAAAATAAATAAGTTGTATAAGTTAAACAAGCTTCCACCATAAACCGAAGCATGTTCACTATACCTGCTCCTCACTTGTGACCCCATTAATCTATTTACAAGGACTTGTCTATTGAACCGTCATTCATATTTCAAAGTTTCACATCAGATAGGTTTACAAAAAATTAATGGGATTTTATAAATAAGTCTAGTTTTTTGTTTCAACATTCAGTTCGGTAGAAGAATCTTTAAATGAACTGTTGACACATAGATATAAAGAAAAAGTTTCAACAGCAATAAACCATGACTGGAAGGTTGGGTGTGTGTGAAATAATCTCTATGGAAATGAAATGTGCCAATGCTAATACAACTGCATACCAAATATCATGAACCTACCACAAGTGGTTCAACATAAACAGACCTAATTACAAACTAATGCATTGTTGGCATCAAGATTGCTAAGGTGTATTTATGACAAATAATATTTTAGGGTGCAATAAAAAAAAAAGGGCCTTAAGATTTTTAGTTCCTAAAACACTTTTATTGCGTTAAGCATGTTAAGAGTTAAGTTCAGCTAGTACCTCAGTTTACCAACAGATTCAAGTGGAGTTTTTCCTGTTGGTTAATCTTACTTATGTTAATGTGTGTCTTAGATGAACAGCGAGGCACGTTTCATCAAAAGACTCAATCAGCATGCAGACGTTATACATTGACATATCCAGAAAGCATAATATTTGTTTCAATTGGTGGACATGTTTTTCAACAGAGAAAAAAACATTCCTATGGAAACCAACTATTCCTCATTTTCTTGGCAATTTCTTTATTTATTCAGCTTTAAGGCTGAATTCATAAAGGAGCTCATCTGAAAAAGTGTACAGTTAGCCTTATTCCTCAACTTCTAATTCAGCAATAAAGATGAGTTTATGTCTGAACGTATCTATCTCATCTAACTTGAAGGATACCAGACACTTACTTTAAACAAAGGAGATGATTTCGGCTTTCCGTTTCTATGTAGGAACATTCTCTTCCAAAACTTTTCAGAAACCGTCATGATTTGTTTGACCAGTATGGAATACCTGTGTCATGCTTACCCTTCTTGATTACCTCAGATGACCCCTGGTAGCTCGGCCATAATACTTACCTTAAAACTTGGGAGTACAAAATGTGTGCTAGAAACACTTGAATCCAATATATTGATTGGTTTATTTTCTTAGTCTTAGTACCAAAATGGAGCTCGAACGTTTTATGACAGCAAGTCCAGGTTCCTCGTGGTGTTCCTTTTGATAAGTTTTTTTTATGATGTTTTGTAGTCTGTATTCTTTTCATGGTTTTCTTTTTTGCCATGATGTTGTCTTTCATTATTGGAATAATGATTTGTTATTTTCACCTTGGTATCTTCTGCCTCTCTTTTTTATACTGATAGTAAATTCGTAGTATCAAACTTTCAAAAGAATTCTTAAAAACAGCAAAAAATTTCTTTCACCATATTTATTGTGCAAGTACAAATGAAATTGTTCATAGCAACATAAGGGATAAATCATCAATCACTGACAAGGAAAATAATTCACACTATTGTCCCAAATAATATTTAGCTTTCTTCAAATATTACAAAGAAAGAAAACTGATAAACAATCTGTAACATTTGTCAAATTGTCTAACATACGTTTAGCACCTTTTAACTTTTGTAAAGTCTTTTTCATGTAACTGTATTAATCCTTAATAGGTCAGCCAGTTCATAAAATATCAAATTAGTTAAAATTTTCTATCAAACAGAATAAATAAAAATCATTCTAATAATAAATTTTGTTTTAAATGTAATTTGAGTTGTTTTTTTCCCTTAGTCACAATGTTGGAGGGCAACATGCACAAATTCCTTTAAAAATCAACAAAAGTCAACTTGTTTTACAGACAGCTACCATTAGAAAAAGTTAAAAAATAGAACCAATTCAAAGTTGTTTAATCTAACTGAACATGGTTGGATAGGTAGGGATATCCTAAACCCTCAATAACAAACATCCTTATGTTAAATCCTGTTCGCATACATCAAAATGTTGGATAGCACTGAAAAATTACAAATTTCCGCTATTGCAATTCAGTTATACTCCTTTCAAATCAAATGAATGTGACAGATGGAATGAAAGAAATTCTAATCCATCTTCATCCATATATATCGATATTTACCCAACAGTTAAATTTTAAGCCTTACATTTTAAATTTGAAAATTTAACTGTCTCAAGTGGATAAATATCGTATCACACTCGATGCAGTGGTAGAATCTATATTTAAATGACTCATGACTTCTGTCCAAAAATGAAATAGCACTTCTGACTTATTTTAGTTGCTTGATTTTAGTATGCCACTATTTTTTTTCATTAACTCCTTCAAAAAAATTTTGAAGCACTAAAAATCTTCTTCAGCATTTTTTTCAAAGAAAGGTTTAAATTCATTTAAATATAAAATTCTATTCTTCATAAAAAATCAGAAAAGAACTACAATACACAACATTATTATAAATGTAAAAAATGTAAATATTTTTAAAAAAATTCATTAAAAATCAACAACCAGTTACATTACATTGTGCTAATAAGGGACCCTCTCAAAATGTGACAGGTTCTAGCAAAAGTTGACATCATCTCTTCCAAATCAAAGTGAGAGAAACATGTCTGTGGGTTCAACATACAAAATTCTAAAGATGATTGCATGGTTTTTGATCAAACATATCAACTTAAGACCATCCTTCCAACAAACATAATCATATCCATTTGATAAAAAAATCCTAAATTCAGAGAAGACTGCTTGCATACATTTTGAATTGAACAAGGCACAAAGAATATAAAATTGTCTATAAAAAACATACAAAATATCTATACTCATGTTATATTCAGAAAAATTCTTATCAACTTAAAGGGGCACTAGCTACTAGATATAAACAAATTATAAAATATTATTTTTTTTGTTCAATCATTAATGAAAGTGAAATAGTGAAATAATAATTCGCTTTTAGCAGCTAGTATTGTCTAATTTTGTCAAAATAAGCAAAGAAATATTGATGATGAATTATTCACTTGCAAGTGAATAATTCGACCTCATTGAATTCGTATTCATGTGAACTTCAATTTAACCCCAAAGCTAGAGATGGAAAACGCATCAATTGTGTGCATGTTTGATTATTTAAAGGAAAAGAATGTCAACATTGAAAGTGAAACAAAGGTTAATCATTTAATTGACTGATTCGATCCTCAAAAAAATCATTCTTATACAGGTAAAAATCATGCTTAACATATATTTTTAATCTATAAATAAAATTAAATAGACCTAGAAGAATCCATTCAGTGTTCTCCCCAGGATTTTTTTAAGGCGCAAAATTCAAGGGCGCGTAACTCTTTTTTTAGAGTGAACGTTTGTGATCTGAAGCAATGTCATGAATCATGACATGCAATATGAATAATAATGCTTTGTGTTATGTGTTTAATAATGCAGAGTATTAATGAATAACAAGAATATATATATGAAATAAATTGATTTTAAACACAAAAGTTATTTATATTCAGTCAATTAAAGAAGTCAAAATATAAATATTCATCTCTACTCTCTGCTCCTTCTAGGGATATTGTTTCAAGATAGTGTTATTTTGTTGGACAGTCTGTTCCTCAACTTTGTCTTTATCCTCTTCAGGGTTAAAAATTAAACCCCCACTCACAATAACTTTTGCTTACACCCCCTTTAACATTTCTAAGCCATGAAAACTCAGTCAGCCATTTGTCATTGAAACAAAGAACATGGTGCTTGCTTTTATCAATTGCTAAAACTTGAGCTTGGTTTAAGATTAGGAGAAGTGGAGGTGTATTCCCTTTTTCATTAGAAGTCATTGGTCTGAAAAAAACTTCTACTTCCATCATCTACCTTTTGCTTATAATTCACCCCTTTGTTATTTGCATAGAACATGTTCATTCAGAATTAATAAAATCGAATATGGTTAAGATATTTGGTATACAACTTTTTAAAACAATTTTTTTTTATAAATGAACAGCTGACCAGTTTCCGTAGTTTCACATTACGCTTCCGTGTGTATTATTGTTTAATCATATCTTTGGCAGATAGATATAAACGAAACTTTACAAATTTGTTAAAGTTAAAACCACTGAAATTATTTACCAGTGACATTATACAGAAGCTGCGGCGATTCTGTACCCGTGTTGATTGTCACATATTTCCCGACGCACGGATTCACGATCGATGTTCAATGATCATTTTATTTCTAAAAATATGACAGTTTCAGAAGAATTTACCTTGCAAGCAACATTTTTTCACTTTCTATTAAAGTAAATCACTCCTCGTTATCTTTAATCAAACTTTATTTTAATTTTTTCAACTTCTAATACTTTCATTCATAGTTTTCATCGTAAATATCTTTAGCAATGTGTATTCTAATTTATCACGTGTATTCAACACGTTCATTGCTCGTGTTTAAATAGTTTCTTCTTCTCGACCAATGAAAAAGTTCGTTATATAAATGGTCAAGTGATCACACACACGATGCGTAAATACAATGTATTTGCGATCTATTTCTTCAATTTCTGCACTGAAGTTTTTAAAATTTTTAATTTTCTTCAAAAAATATCTATCTTCTTGATGATCATTTACACTATTACCTGATAACATAGTCGGATAAGGCTGAGATAAGCATGGCTCAGGTAAAACTAATTATCAGTTATTGCGTAACACTGACCGACCCATCAGCGGTGATCAGTAACTTGACAATTTTAACCAACATTTATAATGAAAATGTGAAAATTAAGACGCTGCGGGATCAAGTATTAAGGGACAGCTGCCAATTAAGACGCTGTGGGATCTACAAAAATATTATGAAGGCGCTGCGGCACCGCAGCAACATATCGGCCTGGGGAGAACAGTGCCATTTGCACGAGTTGCGCTATCTATTTACATCCTTATTTATGTTTATATACCTTATATGGGCATCAGTGGTTTTTGGGAGGTCAACTCGACAATTAATTAGATGGAGTCTAGACTAAAATACACACAAAACGAAGATACATATTATCCATCCTATGCCCTGTCAATTGTTTATTTTAAGACTTTTTATAATTTGGATAAATGTTTTACATTGTTATACATTAAATATGAGAATTTGAGTCAAATCGATGAACATGAATTTGACAGCTAGTGCCCCTTTAATGGATAGGATAATAACAGTGAAATTGATTTAGGAAAAAACTAGCACTGTCCAGTCTCAAAAATTGATTGACTGATACAGCTCAAGTAGATATACACCTGCCAACTGTGAGCATCCCACTACTGCCCGCTCAAATTTAACAAATGGAGATACAAAATGTATTTTGGGACAAGTAATCTTTCATCTAGAAATACACCAATATGTTAACTATTTCAAAAACGTTCTTAAGAAATTTGGGAAAATGAAATAACTATTTGCTGAAAGGTGTGCATCATTGTTACAACTTTAAAATTATAAAATAAAATATTGGAATGTTTATATCAGGTTCACAATTTGGTCAAAACTTATAAAAGATAAATACACAACACATTATTACAAACTGAAATATACAAAACTAACAGCAACCAAACACATACAAAACACATACCAAAACAATAAATACTCAACATACAATTGTATGAAAAAAAAAATAGAAAAAAAAATATTCAGCACTTTTCATAAAATTTAGTACATTGAAGAGAACCATCATATAACACTTCAAATCGATAAGATGTTTTTTTTACCTAAAAACTGGATTTTGATGTTGAAGGTATTTACAAAAATCAACTAAAATTAGTACCCTTTGAACATTTAGATTTTCACAAAGACAATATTTATGCAGCTGCTGGTTTTGAAAAAAAAATATGAAAACTTGCAGGAAAATGTGTACATTGTGTTCAGGTTTTTTATCTGTATACAACACAAAACAAAACATATATAAATTTTGACAATTATCACAAAATGCTGACAAAAACAAAAACATTTAATGCTGTATTTAGATAATATATATATATATATATATATATATATATATATATATAACAATATATAACAAATCATTAAATATTAGAAAATGCAAAATAAATATTTAACCTCTCATAACAGCTCAGTCTATCTTTTAGCATTTGTTAAAACATTTTTTATATCCAATGTTGCAATAAATAGATTTTGATGATAGCATTTGTTAAAACATTTTTTAACAAAAAAATGACAATTACATATAAAAAAATAAAAAGATAAGAAATAACAGTATTTGATATGTCATGGGAGATAACTCTACTTTTATTTGCAATAAAGAATATGAGGAACAAATAAGCTGTGTCCTCAATCAAAATGTAAACATACAAATTCATTTGCAGATAAAAAATTCTTCATTAAAATAATATCCTAAATATAAGTGTAAAATCAAAACTAAAAATCACAACCTTGCTTTCAGACAATTATAACAAATCCTTAGAATTTCAATATAAAAATTGTCAGAAATTTAATTATTCATTCCATTATTTATGACCTTGACATTCTTTTCATATATATCCACTTTTGAAATCTCTGCCGTACACATACCTGCCAACTTTTCAAAATCTCCATGGGGATTTTTAGCACAAAAGGAACTTGTGCTCCTCTTTTATCGTAAGTGTTTTTAATCTACTGCTATATAATGTTTCAAAGAGTATGTATGTGCTAAAATACCCTTTTAACCCATCTGAATGCCTGTTTTGAGGTGTTCAGTTTATAAAATAAAGAAGTTCAAATTCAGGTCAACACCTCGGGGATATCCCCCATAAATTGGGACCGTTGGCAGGTCTGGCCGTACAGAGGATATAATGATGTTCACTGATTATCTGTATACAACTCAATTGTTGTATAAAAACAATAACTAGCCTGAGAAGCAAATATTTTTTCGTTTAGCCTAATATTCAGGTTTAATCATACAAAATTTTCATCCGTGTTTGTACAAATAAGAAATGAATCCATTAGTCTTGGTTGAATCAGCTGATGATAGTCAACAGGGCTTATGTTGGTAGATTTATACTGGGAGTTTATCTTCCTTAGTGCTGCCTGTAAGAGAAGACAAGATTTAGCCAAGAAATGATACAAACAGGCAACATTACAAGGTCAGATGATGCTGCCATTGCACTATTTAATTGTCACATGTGGAACAGGATCTGCTTATACTTGCCACGCACCTGAGATAGTTTTTAGCGAGGTTAATGTTTCTCATTCTTTAGTTTTCTATGTTGTTTTTAGCATACTTTAATTTGTCTTTTGGTCATTTATAGTTTTTTGCCATGACATTGTCAGTTTGTTTTCGACTTATGATAAGTTTGAATGTCCCTTTTGGTATCTTTCGTCTCTGTTAAAATCTGTCTTATGAAGATCTTTAAGACAACTAGACTTGGTTACCTCATTGTTAAAAGGTTAATTTTGTTTCATCATCTTAGAATGGTTTACAAATCGTCATGTGAGTCTTATAGTGTTATATATAAGTTCTTTTTTTATAGAAAACGGAGATAGCTATATATTTGAGATCCAGGTACAATAGTCTTTAAAATCGTATAAAATCAATGGCAGGACTTACCACAATTTTGAAATTTTTGATTCACCCAATTAATTTCCCACCATGAAATCTTAATGTTGGGTTTTTAAATGATTTTTGTAGTTGTTAAAAAATGACTTACTAAACAAGCCACCAGGACAGCTTCACTATTATTCCTCTCCTTAGCATATCTACACAGCTGTACAAGTCTAGGTATACCTTCAAAATAATTAAACACTAAATCATGTTATTGTGCTATACAGTACACACAAGGAAATTCAGTCTGGAAATCACTTTTACTGGTGTGGAGACTGTGGACTAATTCACTGTGAATCAGGGTGATTGTATATGATTTGAGATGACTGTCAAGGTAAATTTGTTCCACCTAACTGAAGTTCCACTGGACATTTTGTTATAAACAATGTCATAATATCTGTTCCTGTTGGAACAAATATTCTATACATTTTTATTCCGTTACGAACATATAATATATATATATATATATATATATATATATAATAACCAAGAATATTTTCTCCATTTGGAACTTATATAATGTAGGAACTTCCATTTCATGACATGACTACACTCTGATTATTGACCTTTGTACATGACATGACTACGCTCTGATTATTGACAGATATGCAATATGCAGAGAGGACTTTTGATAAAAATCGACACGAATCTTACATATAACAGCGCTTACGATGCAATTTTCCATATAATTAATATTTCCAAGGGCATAACTCTTTTAAAGATAGTTTCTTGACACAGATTTTCAAACTTGTCTGAGACATTGCTGATAATAAGTTTAATAAAAATCTTGCAAGAATTGTACAAGCGAGAGTACATACAAGAATTGACAGATGGACAGACCAACAGATGCATAGACGGATGGACAGCCGGTATTTCTATGTCCCCCTCAAAGTTTCGCATGGAGTACAATAACCATCAGTCAATAGCATTCACTGTTAAAAGTCACCAGCTAGAGTTATTTTTGGAGGAATTTATACTTTGTGTGTACTGTACATCATAAAACATATTTTGTTGCTATGTATCATAATAGCATGAAATCAAGTGTAAAAAAACAGCAGGTACAATTAAACCTGTTTAAACCAATCTGGACTTCAGGTTGGTTTTTTTCAAACTAGACAGGTGCTTGATTTTAGCTTGTTACATTATCATGATTATTGAAGAATGTTCATTGTTTGTTTTATTATATACGTTTAGTTTTTAACACAGATTTCAGTCTAAACAGGTTTTATCTTGCCTGTCTCGTCTGGTTCATATTCAGTTTTTGTTAGTTCTTAATGTTTTTCGAATTTTGGACACTTTTGTTTTTAACAACAGATCTTTCAATATTTCTGTAAAATTAATTAACAACTTTTACAGTTCACAAAAAGTGATTCATTTAAAAGTATTTACATTGTATCATAGGTCAAATTTATTTGTTCAGTGTATGTTCAATGGTGTTAATATGTCCTTTGATTGAGTTAAGCTATTTCAGTTGATATTTTATAGTGTGTCTTTCTATGTTGTGATGTTACACTATTGTTTCAGAAAAAGGGTGAAGGTTTGGTACCATTAAAACGTTTAAACCCGCTGCATTTGTTTGCACCTGTCCTAAGTCAGGAATCTGATATTCAGTAGTTGTCATTTGTTGATGTGGTTCATAAGTGTTTCTCGTTTCTCGTTTTTTATATAGATTAGACCGTTGATTTTCCTGTTTGAATGGTTTTACACTAGTAATTTTGGGGGCCCTTTATAGCTTACTGTTCGGTGTGAGCCAAGGCTCCGTGTTGAAGACCGTACTGTGACCTATAATGGTTTACTTTTATAAATTTTGACTTGGATGGAGAGTTGTCTCATTGGCACTCATACCACATCTTCTTATATCTATTAACCACAACCTTAAGGAGTCAACAATAATTTCATAAACAATGAAAAAAGATACCAGCAAAAAAAAGAAACTTCCATTTTAAATCAAGATTTTTTTCTAATGTCTGTCAAAGATGTATTTCTTTCACCATTTTAAAACAAATATAACTCTTAAATTTACAAACCTTCTGATGTACAAATAATTTTCCCTATTTCTTCTTCCCTACACATCCTTGTCAGAGCAATAGCAGCTTTTTGTTGTACCCGTTCACAAGCTGATATTTCTGAAGCTGATTTGTAATCAGCAGGACAAATACTTAATAGTTCTAAACACAAACTAATTCCATTATTGTTTATTATACAAGGTCTACACATGTCTACTGCTACCATGTTAGCTAATACTGTCACAACCTGCCAAAAAAATGCAATGAGAGAATATTATAACTGGAGCATCTAATATGCATAGGAGGGAGAAGGGAAGAAAGGGGGTGGGGTGTGTGGGTACCTGCAAACTTTTGTTTTTCATTCAATGTTTTGTACATAAATTTAGACAAAAGTTTCTTGTTTGCCATTTGTCATGTTATGGCCTTTTATAGCTTGCTATGAGGTATTGGTTTTGCCCACTGTTGAAGGTCATAATGTGACCTACACTTGCTAACTTCTGCGTCATTTGGTCTCTGATGGAAAGTTGTCCCATTGGCAATCATATCACAGCTTCTTATTTTTTATATATATATGACCTATTTTAAATGGTTGAATTATCTTCCATTATCTTTGAATCTCCTGGATAAATCTTTGAAATTACTAGTCAAACCAACTGAATAAATACAATATTTTTAAGGTTCCAACTGAATATAAAAATACTGATTTTACTAAGCAGTCTATCTGCTTCCTGTCTTATACAGATTCCATTTTTTTCATGGATTATCATATTCATTTGACAATTGGTATTTATATTGGCATGTTATCAGCAGATTCAGAGTATGGCGTACGTCCATTAATAATAACTCTTGACCCTAAGCATGTTAACTAATTGCACTTGAACAGTAGTGATGTAATGCATTGGCTGTTTGAGAATACAGATTATATAAACAAATCGGTTGTAGAGGCAAAAATGCATCACATAATAGTTCCTTAGAAAAATGTGATACAAAAATTGCATGAGCTAGACAGACATAGAAAATTAGTATATCCTCTCCTTCAAAGCAGGGGTATAATGATTAATTCTGCCTGATCTCTAAGTTAAGAAAAAGTAAGACTTAGGTGTATTAAGACCTTAAACTGTCAATCAATTTCTTTGTTTGTGGATTAAGTAAAAAATTGCATTTTCATGCATTCTTGATTCAACAATTTTGACAAGAATTCTGCATACTAGCCTACAAGATTTTTTTGCAGTATTTATACTTCCTGGTTCACATATACCCACAAGATTTAAGAAAATTAGTACTTGAAGAATAATTATGAATCCAAAGAATCTAAAAAACTGATTCTAAAAACTAACATAACAAGAGTGCAAACGCTGAAATGTCTTGCCTTCTTTACTAATCATTGATATTATGTTTATAGTCCTAAATATAAAGCTTTATTACAACTGTCACAAAAAACTTAACATTAACCAAGTAAACTAAACATTGACCAATGAACCATGAAAATGAGGTCAAGGTCAGATGAAACATGCTAGGCAGGCATGTACAGCTAACAATTCTTCCATACAACAAATATGGTTGACCTATTGCTTATAGTTTAAGGAAAACAGACCAAAACACAAAAACTTAACACTGAGCAATGAACCTTGAAAATGAGGTCAAGGTCAAATAAAACCTGTGTGACTGACATATAGATCATAAAATATTTCCATACACCAAATGTAGTTGAACTATTGCATATAGTATTAGAAAAAAAGATCAAATCTCAAAAACTTAACTTTGACCACTGAACCATGAAAATGAGGTCAAGGTCAGATGACACCTGCCAGCTAGACATGTACACCTTACAATCATTCCATACACCAAATATAGTAGACCTATTGCATGCAGAATTAGAAAAAAAGACCAAAACTCAAAAACTTAACTTTGACCACTGAACCATGAAAATGAGGTCAAGGTCAGATGACACCTGCCAGCTAGACATGTACACCTTACAATCATTCCATACACCACATATTGTAGACCTATTGCATACAGTATAAGAAAAACAGACCAAAACACAAAAATTAAACTATAACCACTGAACCATGAAAATGAGGTCAAGGTCAGATGACACCTGCCAGCTAGACATGTACACCTTACAATCATTCCATACACCAAATATTGTAGACCTATTGCATACAGTATAAGAAAAACAGACCAAAACACAAAAACTCAACTATAACCACTGAACCATGAAAATGAGGTCAAGGTCAGATGACACCTGCCAGCTAGACATGTACACCTTACAATCCTTCCATACATCAAATATAGTTGACCTATTGCATACAGTATAAGCAAAACAGACCAAAACACAAAAACTTAACTATAACCACTGAACCATGAAAATGAGGTCAAGGTCAGATGACACCTGCCAGTTGGACATGTACACCTTACAGTCCTTCCATACACCGAATATACTAGACCTATTGCTTATAGTATCTGAGATATGGACTTGACCACCAAAACTTAACCTTGTTCACTGATCCATGAAATGAAGTCGAGGTCAAGTGAAAACTGTCTGACGGGCATGAGGACCTTGCAAGGTACGCACATACCAAATATAGTTATCCTATTACTTATAATAAGAGAGAATTTAACATTACAAAAAATCTTAACTTTTTTTTCAAGTAGTCACTGAACCATGAAAATGAGGTCAAGGACATTGGACATGTGACTGACGGAAACTTCGTAACATGAGGCATCCATATACAAAGTATGAAGCATCCAGGTCTTCCACCCTCTAAAATATAAAGCTTTTAAGAAGTGAGCTAACGCCGCCGCCGCCGGATCACTATCCCTATGTCGAGCTTTCTGCGACAAAAGTCGCAGGCTCGACAAAAACATACCAGTGTTCCCGCCTGCCCTAAATAGAAGGGTGGCCCGCCCTTGGTGCCCTTAACCCCGCCCTTCTGCCCTCCAAAGTAAAAGAATGCACCCCTCTGCCTTTTCAAAAAAATTAAATTTCAAAATTTCATGGCTACCGGCATTTCCGGTAAAATTGTTACCTGATTGTGTAACACTAATTAACTGACAATGGGATTAAGTTAAATACCTAGTGCTTTGGCAGTTTTATCACCTTTGTTAATGATTGTTTACTGCTAATTAGTGGATTTAAGATAATTGAACAAATACTAGATATTTAATACAGAATGAAATGTCCACATGTTATCCATTTGTAATGTTTATGTACAGCATGTACACCTGAAAAAAATTATTTCAGTAGACATAACATAAAAAATAAAATCTTTTGACAATTTTAAAGGCATACATAGTTTTGACTTAATTGGTAAAAAATGTTTTGTTTCAAAACCATGAGTATGAGATTTGAAGAGGAATCAAAGAAATTTGTACTTTGAACATAACAAGATTCACTTCCTGTTTTTAATACTTCTTGTATTTTATAATCCTCCTGACATAGGAGCACTCAACAAATTTATTTTTAACAATGATGGAGAAAAAAGTAACTGTTTATACCTTCTGCAATATATTATTGCATCAATATAAAATATGATCATCTCCTGTCTCACCTGTTATAATTATAAAACTCCTTACTGAGGAGCACTTTGGTGTGCACTTAAAAATACTTTTTTGTAACAATTCAAGTGATAATAAATAACTCTCAATAACATATATACTATATGTTTGAACAAGTAATTTAAATGTAGATAATTTAATTAAAATCAACATTCAATTTTGCATGTATAACTCCATCTTTCAAAACTACTTGTTTATTTTGGTATAAGTTATAAAACATTGAAATTTCTGATGATTATTTTCCATACCAAATGTACAAGTATGTTAGATTAACATCAAAATGATATGCTTTGCTTCATGGTATGATAATTTGATGAAAAAAAATTCTTACTGGAACCAACATCAAGAACACATTAATTTCTGAATATGGTTTAAATACAACTAATGTTCTCCAGCTGAGCCTAGCAATATTCAAGGTAATTTATACACTGTCCAACATTGCCCTTAAAATCTGGGTTATAACGCTAAAGTGCCCTTTCAGACAACTAGCACCCTTCTGCCCTGTGATTCAAGCTGGAACACTGCATACAATGCAATGCCTACAAAAAATTAACACTTTCAAATGACTGACTAAATAATTTGCAAAGGATGAATTAGAATAAAATCTACCATAAAATTCATTTTAAATCCCAATATTTACTTGTGTACTGATTCAATATGTATATGACAACCAATATTATGTTGCTAAATACAGCCAAATATGAACACTTTACCTGATCTTTTGCAAAGACAGAATTGGCTATAGGAGTACTGCATGCCTTGATTAGAATCCTTGGAGCTTCATATTGGGCTAAAATTTCACAGCCAAGACTGTCCATAAAGGTTATGTTGGCTATAGCTGCAGACGACAACAGGAATATTTCATATGATTCTGTCGTACTGGCTAAACCTACAATCAGAGTGGACTATGAAAATATATACATCAAAATCAATTGTTTAAATCATTCATTAGCAAATATTTGAATAAGAGAGGTAAATGGAAATAATATGTGATAAATTTAATGCATTCAAACCGCTTTTCTGAATTAACTTTCATCAGGAACACTCAAAGCCAAACATTTTAAAGCCAAAGATGTATTAAAATCTGAATACCTGATGAACTTTAGGGACCTAAAGGCTAAAAAGATTAACTTTAAAAAAAATAAAGTGTGCTTTCAATATTTCGAAGTATTTGAGTAGATCAGTATTATATAAGCAGACAAAACTTTTCCAAGTAAACTACAGGATAGATTATAAAAAATAATTTATTATTTTAAATGAATTCTTTACACCCAAATATTTCTCAATTCAAACCTGATATTGCCCAAATTAAATCCTGCATAGACCCAATCCAGCATATGTTGGAAAACTCTGAAAATAGGGGGAAACTGTGTATGACCCATGTGGAAGCACTGTGTATGACCATTACCTAATAAAGACCTGAGTAAATCCTCCATATTGTCTACTAAGTCTGACATCTGTTGGTAATTCTCCAAACAAGGGGAGGTAATCTGTGCTATGACACCTGCTACTTCACCTCGTACCTTCTCTCCGACTGTTGTATCACATAAAATCTCAATCAAAGTTTCTACTCCTCCTTCCTGAAATAAAATTAGAAACTAGTTATGTGAAACTCAAAGGTAGGAAAAACAAGAATTTGGAAATATGTTATTTGGCATGTATACTTTAAAAGCCAAATGTGTTTTTTCGCTATCTGGCAAAAGTTTGGAAAGCAAACTCCATAAAAAACCTCTTATATGAATCAAAGGTAGCTAAATATATAATTTTACAATCGTTCTTTAGAAACATGCATTGAAATATTTCATGGGTCGGATGGACACAATGATGGACGATGGTAAAGCAGCATACCTTCCTCCCTTGGAGCAGGGGTATAATAATTACCCACAAACCAATGAATTATCCTCTATCAATAAATATTGTCATCCTTGAATCAAATATTTTCACAATAGTTAAACATTTTGAAATTAATATTTTTTTTTTTTCCGAGGGTCTACAAACAACTTGTCTGTTTATACTGTATTTTAATGATTCCAGTCGTTTAATACGGCTAATTGTAACAAAATACTGAGATTGTACTGTAGATTTATAATTCCAGTGGTTTAATACGGCTAATTGTAGCAAAATACTGAGATTGTACTGTAGATTTATAATTCCAGTGGTTTAATACGGCTAATTGTAACAAAATACTGAGATTGTACTGTAGATTTATAATTCCAGTGGTTTAATACGGCTAATTGTAGCAAAATACAGAGATTGTGGTTTAATACGGCTAATTGTAGCACAATACTGAGATTGTACTGTAGATTTATAATTCCAGTGGTTTAATACGGCTAATTGTAGCACAATACTGAGATTGTACTGTAGATTTATAATTCCAGTGGTTTAATACGGCTAATTGTAGCAAAATACTGAGATTGTACTGTAGATTTATAATTCCAGTGGTTTAATACGGCTAATTGTAGCAAAATACTGAGATTGTACTGTAGATTTATAATTCCAGTGGTTTAATACGGCTAATTGTAGCAAAATACTGAGATTGTACTGTAGATTTATAATTCCAGTGGTTTAATACGGCTAATTGTAGCAAAATACAGAGATTGTACTGTAGATTTATAATTCCAGTGGTTTAATACAGCTTATTGTAAAAAAATACTGAGATTGTACTGTAGATTTATAATTCCAGTGGTTTAATACGGCTAATTGTAGCAAAATACTGAGATTGTACTGTAGATTTATAATTCCAGTGGTTTAATACGGCTAATTGTAGCACAATACTGAGGTTGTACAGTAGATTTATAATTCCAGTGGTTTAATACGACTAATTGTAGCAAAATACTGAGGTTGTACTGTAGATTTATAATTCCAGTGGTTTAATACGGCTAATTGTAGCAAAATACTGAGATTGTACTGTAGATTTATAATTCCAGTGGTTTAATACGGCTAATTGTAGCAAAATACTGAGATTGTACTGTAGATTTATAATTCCAGTGGTTTAATACGGCTAATTGTAGCAAAATACTGAGATTGTACTGTAGATTTATAATTCCAGTGGTTTAATACGGCTAATTGTAGCAAAATACTGAGATTGTACTGTAGATTTATAATTCCAGTGGTTTAATACGGCTAATTGTAGCAAAATACTGAGATTGTACTGTAGATTTATAATTCCAGTGGTTTAATACGGCTAATTGTAGCAAAATACAGAGATTGTACTGTAGATTTATAATTCCAGTGGTTTAATACGGCTAATTGTAGCAAAATACAGAGATTGTACTGTAGATTTATAATTCCAGTGGTTTAATACGGCTAATTGTAACAAAATACAGAGATTGTACTGTAGATTTATAATTCCAGTAGTTTAATACGGCTAATTGTAACAAAATACTGAGATTGTACTGTAGATTTATAATTCCAGTGGTTTAATACGGCTAATTGTAGCAAAATACTGAGATTGTACTGTAGATTTATAATTCCAGTGGTTTAATACGGCTAATTGTAGCAAAATACTGAGATTGTACTGTAGATTTATAATTCCAGTAGTTTAATACGGCTTATTGTAACAAAATACTGAGATTGTACTGTAGATTTATAATTCCAGTAGTTTAATACTGCAAACTGTAGCAAATACTGACCAATAGTTATTTTGGGAAATCAACACAAAAAATGTAATTTCTCCCTATATGCATTCAGAATTTGATTAATTATCAGTTATATGGTCACAGATTATTACTTTAGAAATACCAATATCTTACCTTTTCAATTTCAAATAAACTTTCAGCAACACATGAGATGGTGGCTAATGCTCTCAAAGCTTGACAATGGGCAAACTCTAATGACTCTGTCCGACAGATTTCTAATAGGGCTCGTACTCCACCTTCCTACAAATTGTGATGAAAAATCATTTTACAATTTAATTGGGGAAATAAGTTATTTTTTATCTTGTATTTATAAACACAATTCTCCTTTTATTAATGTTTATAGTTTTTTAGAAAAATAAAAAAACTAAATTAACTTCACTTGATTTAATATACAAAAAAGCTTCTGATTCTGAAGTAACAAACATATTGGTCCTTTAAAATGGTTTGATTTTATCCTTTTTTTTAAGAATAATTTATTGGTCAAGGGGAGATAATCAAAATCTGAAAAATTAGTCTATAGAATGCTTTCATGAACAAAATAAGAGTCAAATCTTAATAGTCCATGCACCTTCCAAACATGTAAATTGCACTGACATATAACTTTTATGTACCTAAAATCTATGAGAATAAAGATTCTGTATTTAACCTAAGAAATGTTTGTTACAATTACAATCAAATACCAAATTAATTTAGCATGTGAAGTATTGCTAATTTGTTGATATAGATGACCTTACCTTGTATTCATAGCATTTTTTCTTTCAACTCCTCTTTTTTTAATGAAACATGATGAAATCAAAGCAGAGCTGACCCCATTTTACAAGAAAATCAGTCATGAATGGTTTTTTTGTAACTAATCAATAAAAATTTTGATATTTTGTCTATTTTTGAAAAGTGTTTGTCGACCTCTGGATGTCTTTTTGTTTTTTTGCAATGTTGGGTTGCTGTCTCATTGATGTATACCCCACATCTTCCTGTATTTTGTTACTACTGAGACATACCCTTGCTATAATATAACACATATGTTCTCCTTCCAGCCCTAAAGTGACGATTGTTCTCATAGCTGTGGCAAGGGTTGGTGGTTCATTAGCCTCGTCCAATGTGATAATTATTTTCTACAAAATAAAAAGAAGTTATATATAGGATAAATTTTGAAAAAGATTTCTATATATAAAATTGTTGAAAAGAATATACCAACTTCACAGTAATTAAAAAAAAATCATTTGTCTGAATTATTTTTGGCTAATTATATTTTACCAAAACAGACATAGATTTAAGTAAGCTAACACTTCCTAATATTTATATATGTCTTAAATTTTTAATTTTAGTATTTGAATATCATATGTATATATTCTCTTTGTAACCTGCGTAAGATGTCCCAGTGATAGATCGACCATTCTACTGAAAGCTTGTCCTAGGAATGTAAGCTGATTAACAACTGGTATCCGAGATGGATTCTCCTCTGATTTTGCTGCAGTACTGAAATAAAAACAATTAGATGTAGAAAGATTTCATCAGAATTATAAACAATTTGTTGAATATTCTTAGCATTGACCATGCTAAACAGTGGCCTTGGTTGACAAAATAGTGCTCTCCTCTTAAAGTAGTACACTATGTCTTCATGATTGGTTACAATTTTCAAATAATCAATGCATTTAAACAGAACAATATTCTATAAATATCAAAGAGTACTGCTTATTCATATCAGGGTCTGTCAAAATAATGTTATCTTTAGCATCTACAATGCAAAACAGTGGCCTTGGTTGATGACATATCATGACACAGTGTGCACTACATCATCAACCTTGGTTACAATTTTCACATAATCTAGATGGTAGGTTAAATCGCTGAAGACCTTCTGGGAACTGTCAAGATGAAATACAGCAATAAAAGTGCTGTTAATTCAACAATTTGGTTTATGCAAACCAACTTATTCTGGATACTTTTTTTTTTACTCTTAACACTTTTCAGCATATTTCACATGAGATTTCAATCATTTTGGACCGGGATTATCTCCCTTTACAAACATCCTTTATGTACATCATCAGGTGGTATTCTACATCTGTATAAAGATTCATCAACACAGCCGTTTAGGAGGAGTTGTGCTTACAAGAGACTATTACCACAAATAAATTCAATAATGAAGATAGTTTGATTATCTCCCCTTTATCATGTAGGCGTTGTGCTAACAAGGCACATGGACAGACAGGATAACTCCTATATACCCCACAAACTTTTTTTGCAAGGAATAGAAATAGTTAACAAGTTTGCTAGATTAATAAGTGAACCAGTGATTATTTTTAATAGGGGAAGGGGTTTCTTCCTATAAGAAGGTATACACAGACGTGTTGCTGGAATGGGTCCCTTTTTTGACACATCAAATATATCAATGCGTTGCAATTTCACCAAGGTAAAATGTCAATGGGTCTGACATTTTCTCCTTTTGCAATTAGATTTTTGTATAAATGTTGTTTTATCATTTCAATTCAAATTAAGATTTCATGAATTGCATATGTGATAACTGAGAAATGTATGAATGGGTCGTGATTTTGCCATTAAATATATTTATGGGTCATTTTTTCCATAAGAATTCTATATCAATGGGGAAGATTTTTAAAATTTAAGCTGCATGTCTGTACCCAAAATCCCATATTGAACCCGTCCCTGGTAAACCATCTGTAAGATAAGATTACCTTTCTACTAACTGGGCAAGCTTGGCACATTCTCCCATTACAACTTCTTGTTGCTAAAAAAAACAAAGACAAATAAAATTAATAAACTGAAAAGAGGGGTGTACGTTAATGAGACAAAGACAACTTTTTATTTTATCGTGATATTTCTTATCTGAAGAAATTTGCAATGAATAAATCACTCACAAGAATATATAAATTTTTGAAATTTGTTAAAATTAAATTATCAAGACTCTAAAATTTTTCGTGAATAAATTAACTGTAACAAATGGATGGAACATGCATGAATTTTAAATTCACAATCAAATATTTAACTTCTAAAAGTATGGAACACCACTTAAGCCAATTCAAGGGTCGGTAAGAATTTGGAAGATTAAGATGGCTGCCGAGCTGAAAACACTGTGAAAAGTCAGCTCCCAGTTTTTTGCAGTTTTATGTGTTTTATATGAATTGTTGCATGATAAAAAGTGGATAGACTGATAGATAACAATTTGCTGAATCATTGGATGCCAACTTATGAGAAAAATTTGGTGGAACTTTTGTGATATTTACAGAAAACCATTTTTTGGATTTAAGTGTTCACCTATTTATTGATTATATTTACTTGATCACAAAGGATTTAATACAACATGCCTGGAGGCAATAGCCTTACAAGTAACAGATCTGTGAATAAAAGTGGAAAATGTGGAAACACTGTTCAGACTTTACTAGCTGCCAAAGTAGATAAAGTTGACAAAGAAAAAACAGAAAAACCTAATAAACAACCAAAAAGAACTCACTCTGAAGTGTCAAATGAATCAAATACAAGTGTTGATCTGACTGGTATAATTAGTATACAAAGGGACTTAGATGAAATTAAACAAAACCTTGAGGGTGGATTAAAAAAGATAGACCTTGAAAATGCAACAAAAGATCTTGTTAAGTCAAGTGATCTGGAAGTCATTGTAACATCTATTGTGAAGAATTTATTTAAAGAATTTACTTCATCATTAGAGACAAAAATTGATGAAAAAGTATCAGAAGTTATAGGGGAAATGCAAGAGAAAATAGATGCATTATCAATTGAAAATGAGAACTTGAGGGAGAAAGCTGAGGTAGCTATGAAAAGCCTATCTGCAACAAAGAAAGAATTACACCAAAATGAAAGACTGACAAGAGAAGCGATTACCAGCAGCAACTATAATGAACAATATTCTCGCAAAAACAACATAAGAGTTATAAACTTTCCATGGCGAGAGCGACAAGATCTGCGTGCGGACTTTATAAGTAAAGTGAAAAGGGACATGAATGTAGAACTTGAGGAAAGAGATGTTGTCGCCATCCATAGAATTCCATCTGACAAATTAGGACCAAAGCCTCTAATTGTGAGATTATTTAGTAGCGATGTTAAACGAAGAGTGATGCGAGAAAAGAAGAATTTACAAGACCATGTAAGATTTTATGATGACATTTCCAAAAGAAACATTGAATTGATGAAAAGACTAAATGAGACTGAATGGTTCAGCGACGTATGGTACTTCAACTGTGGTGTATATGGAAGGATATCTGATGGTCTACAGCTGAAGTTCAATATTTTTGATGACATTTTTCTTAGATTGAGACAAAGGAAATAAGTAGTTAACTTAGTATATGACTTTCATTGTTACATGTACATTATGTCTTGATGAATTTTAATTTTTTTTTTTTTTTAAAAGTGTTTTTCTTATTTTCATGGGACAAATCTTAATACTACAAAAGTTGTCTCCACTTTGTAAAATAGTTGACTATGTCATAACTGATAAATCATATACAGGATATATAAAATTGAAAGAACAATTATACTGCAAAAAACTATTGTTTTGACATTAATTTAATAAAAAATGTCTGCCATCTTGATGCTAAATTTTTGTTTTTATCTCTATCTTTTTCTTTCCAGTCCTTTATTCTTTTTATTAATTATTGCATTTCTGCAATATCATTCCATTACATTTTGTTTTGGTTTAGTTTATGGTGAGTTTCCTACTTATCATTTTTTATGCTTCTATATGTTGGTGAAATGTTTTCCTTTAGTATTTTTTATACATATGGAGAATAATCAGATATTACTATTACAATTTTTTACGGTCATGTTATGTGCTAGTGTATTTATCGACATCATATCATGTGTGCCCTGAAGTTATTAACTGTTAATTGCCAAGGTTTGGGAGATAAAGTTAAAAGAAGAGATGTTTTTAACTATTTAAGAACAAAGAATTATAATATTTACTGTTTACAAGATACTCATTTCTTATGTGAAAATGAAAATAATATAAGAGCTATGTGGGGATATGATAGTTTTTTTTCATCATATAGTTCAAATTCAAGAGGTGTAGCAGTTATGTTTAATAACAACTTTGAGTTTAAGGTCCTAAAAGAAAAAAAAGATGTTGGTGGCAATTATTTAGTATTAGACTTAGTTGTTGATACTTTACATTTTACACTTGTAACTATTTATGGACCAAATATAGATAATCCAATTTTTTATGATCAAATTATGTCAATTATAGATGATTTTGGTAATGATAGCTATATGATATGTGGTGATTTTAATCTTGTTCTCAACCCTGATATAGATTATTTTAACTATTTACATATAAATAACCCAAATGCTCGGGGAAAAGTTTTAGAAATCATTGAGGAAAGATGTCTCATTGACCCTTTCCGAGAACTTTACCCAGATTTGAAACGTTTCACATGGAGAAAAAGAACCCCCTTTAAACAAGCAAGGCTAGATTTTTTTCTTTTGTCTGAAAATTTACTATGCTGTTTGAATAATTGTAATATTGAGCCTAGCTATCGCTCTGATCATTCTATGGTTATATTAAATCTAGAATTTAATCCATTTGATCGAGGTAGAGGATTGTGGAAATTTAATAATTCATTATTGTATGATCCAGAATATATGAAGATTGTTAAGGAAAAAATAGTAGAAGTTAAAAAACAATATGTAACACCTGTTTATGATATAGATAGAATTGAAGACATAAATAATGAAGATCTCCATTTTTGTCGAGCCTTCGACTTTTGTCGAAAAAGCGAGACATAGCGATCCTGCATTCCGTCGGCGTCGTCGTCGTCGTCGTCGTCGGCGGCGTCCACAAATATTCACTCTGTGGTTAAAGTTTTTGAAATTTTAATAACTTTCTTAAACTATCCTGGATTTCTACCAAACTTGGACAGAAGCTTGTTTATGATCATAAGATTATATTCAAAAGTAAATTTTGTAAAAAACAAATTCCATTTTTTCCGTATTTTACTTATAAATGGACTTAGTTTTTCTGCCAGGAAACATTACATTCACTCTGTGGTTAAAGTTTTTGAAATTTTAATAACTTTCTTAAACTATCCTGGATTTCTACCAAACTTGGAAAGAAGCTTGTTTATGATCATAAGATAGTATCCAGAAGTAAATTTTGTAAAAAAAAAATTCCATTTTTTCCGTATTTTACTTATAAATGGACTTAGTTTTTCTGCCAGTTAACATTACATTCACTCTGTGGTTAAAGTTTTTAAAATTTTAACAACTTTCTTAAACTATCCTGGATTTGTACTACACTTGGACAGAAGCTTATTTATGATCATAAGATAGTATCTAGAAGAAAATTTTGATAAAAATATGTTCCATTTTTTCCGTATTTTACTTATAAATGGACTTAGTTTTTCTTCCAGTTAACTTTACATACAGTCTGCAGTTAAAGTTTTAAAAACATTTATTAGATTCAAAAACCATCCTGGATTTTTACCAAACTTGGACAGAAGCTACTTACAATCAAAAGATAGTATAGAGAGGAATATTTTTATTAATTTTTTTCCTCATTTTTGTTGAGCCTGCAATTAACAGCAAAAGTAGGCGAGACACTGGGTTCCGCGGAACCCTTACAAATTTTAATATTAACAGTCACTTATTTCTTGAGACAATGTTGATGGAAATTAGAGGCAAAACTATATCTTATTCAAGTTATAAGAAAAAAGTAAAAGAAAAACAAGAGAAAGATATTAGAAATGAAATCCTAATTTTGGAAGAAAAGGTAGATGAAGGTTCAATAAAGATTTTGGAAAATAAAAAATATGAATTAGAAAATATAAGAAAAGAAAAAATTAAAGGGAAAATAATTCGATCAAGAATACAATGGGTAGAAGAGGGTGAAAAACCTACTAGCTATTTTTGTGGGCTAGAATCAAAAAATTTTACAAATAAGATAATACCAAAAGTAGAAAAAGAAAATGGAGATGTAATTTCAAAACAAAAAGATATTTTGAAAGAAGTGAAATCTTTTTATGAAAATTTATATAAGAATAAAGATCAGTCAAAGGGAGATAAATTCAGTAAACTCGAAGAAGGATTGAAAGATATAAAGTTTAAAAAATTAACTGATGATGAGAAAAATAATCTTGAAGGTAAAATAACAATTGAAGAAGCTGGTTTGATATTGAAAAATATGAAAAATAATAAAACACCAGGATCTGATGGTTTCTCCACAGAGTTCTTTAAATTTTTTTGGAAAGATTTAAAAATTTTTGTTGTAGACTCCTTGAACTACAGTACTGAGATTGGTGAACTATCTGTTACGCAAAAACAAGGAATAATTACATGCCTGCCGAAAGGAAATAAACCTAGACATTTCTTAAAAAATTGGCGACCTATATCTTTATTAAATACAGTTTATAAAATTGGCTCTGGAGTTATAGCAAAACGCTTTAAAACAGTTTTAGATAAACTGATAGATTTCGATCAAACTGGATTTATTAGTGGGAGATATATTGGAGAAAATCTTCGTTTAATTTATGATATTATGCAATTTACTGAGGAAAAAGACATTCCAGGACTTTTATTGCTCATAGATTTCGAAAAGGCATTTGATTCAATTTCTTGGGAATTTTTAACCAGTGTCTTGAAGTTGTTCAATTTTGGAGAATAAATAATTAATTGGGTTAAAGTTTTTTATAACAATATTAAATCAGCTGTTAATCAGGGAGGACATCTATCAGAATTTTTTTCTATAGAACGAGGCTGTAGACAAGGTGATCCCTTGTCGCCTTATATTTTTATTCTCTGTGCTGAAATATTAGCACTAACAATACGAAATAATGATAAAATAAATGGCATTACAGTTGCTCAAGCTGAGCACAAACTTTCACAATTTGCTGATGATACATCTCTTATTTTAGATGGTAAAGAAGAATCTTTGAATGAAGCATTAAATGAATTAGATTGGTTTGGAAATATATCTGGTTTAAATATTAATTTTTCTAAAACACAAGTTATTTGGATAGGAAATAAAAAGTATAGTAATGAGGTATTATGCCAAAATAGAAACCTTACATGGGGAGAAACATGTTTTAAGTTATTAGGTATAAGCTTTGATGTTAATCTTGATAGAATTGTAAAAATTAATTATGATGAAAAAATTGTACAAATAAAATGTGTAATTAAACAATGGTCAAAACGAAATCTTACTGTTATTGGTAGAATTACTGTTGTAAAGACATTGATATTGCCTATTTTAAATCATTTGTTTATATCCTTACCAAATCCAAGTGATGATATTTTAAAAAATGTTATTGAACTTATGTACAATTTTATATGGAGTTCACCAATTGATAGAATAAAGAGAGATGTTTTACAAAATGATATTGAAGATGGTGGACTCAAAATGATAAATCTTAGTGCATTTATTTTAGCACTGAAGTGTACATGGATAAGGAGATTATTTAAAACAGACAACAAATGGCAGAATGTTTTTTTGTCAAATGTTCATGTAGAACTTGAAAAATTTTATGGTTGTGGAAGTGTTTATATACAAAAATTACAACAAAATATAAAAAATAAATTTTGGCAAGATGTTCTGAAAGCATGGCAACTTCTCAGAGAAAAAGATGAATATGACAGTTGGGAATGCTTTCTTGCTAGTCCAATCTGGCTTAACAATAATATAAAGGTAGCAAATAAACCTATTTTTTATAAAGATTGGTTTGAAAATGGTATAAGATTTATAAATGATATTGTAAATGAAGATGGGACTTTTTTCTCTCATCAAGAATTAGAAGAAATGTATCAGATAAATGTGAATTTCATGAGATATAATAGTATTATATCTGCTATACATCAAGCATCAAAATCATTTGTGGGAAAAAATCACAAATTAGAACTACCTTTAATTCCATCTGCTATTAAAAGACTTGTTAAAAGTTCAAAAGGATCTAAAGATATGTATATTGTTTTAAATAAAAATAAAAGTGTTCCCACTAGTCAGTTAAGATGGACTGAAATTTTTGGCTTTGATCAAAATCATTGGAAAAAAATTTATAAAATGCCATTTGTTGTCACAAATAATACTAAGTTACAGTGGCTGCAGTATAGATTCAATCATCGAATCTTAGCTACAAACAAATTTCTTCATAAAATTAAGATTTATGATAATCCAAATTGTACATTTTGTAATAGAGAAATTGAAACATTAGAACATTTATTTTGGGATTGTGAACATACACAGATATTATTAGAACAGATTGAAAATTGGTTTCTGACCAATGGAGTTAGTGTATTTTTTACAAAAGAAGTTTTTTTGTTTGGTAACATTGCAAAAATATCAAAAGGCAATGCAGAAAATACTCTTTTTCTTACCATAAAGCAATATGTTTATAATACCAGATGTTTTAAAAAAAAACTGTCAATAAACTCAGTAAAAGAGAAGATGAAATATGTGTATGCAATTGACAAAAATATTGCTATGAAAAACAAATGTGAACATCAGTTTCACAGAGAATGGAACATTTTTAATAGATTACTTAGTTAAGTACAAAAATGTATACACTTTAAATTTAATATTATACATGTTATAAATGAAAATGCTGTATTTACTATGCTAAAATAGAATTCAATGTCTAGATGAATTGTATTGAAAACTCACCACACTATTTTCTCTCACTCTCTTTCTCTCTCTCTCCGGTGTTCAGACTGCTTTACTCTTTATCTTATATTTGTATATTTAAAAAAAAAATTGCTTCCTAATAAAAAGATGTATTGTAAAGATAATATCAATAGATTTATATATTATATATTGTTATTATTTGTGTATACACTGTATTATGTTGTAAATTGGAAGTTATAAATAATAAAAATTTAAAAAAAAAAATATTTAACTTCTAAAAGTATGGAACACCACTTAAGCCAATTCAAGGGTCGGTAAGAATTTGTTTAAGAATTTTACATATAGATTCCACCACTGGAACAAGTGTGTTACGATATTTCTCCACTCGAGACAGTTAAATTTTAATATTTAAAGCATGAGGCTTGCTGAGCATTTTAAATAATTAAAATTTAACTGTTGAGAGTGGAGAAATATCGTAATACACGAGTTATAGTGGTGGAATCTGTTTCTCTGATGATTTTTATCCTTCCTTTTCACAGATTTGCAGAATGTTGTGCTCTTTATACGTGACGTCACCAAGCATGGTCCTCTTTTTTAATGACATCACAATAGGAAAATTCAGAAGAAACCAAGAAAATTTGACATCATAATTAAATTTCGACCAATCATTTGCAGAGAACAGATATTTCACTAGTGAGGAGAAATATTTATCTCACACCGATCAAGAAATGTGAAAATAGCACAAAAATTAGAGAAATGATATTCTTGGTTGAGTTACGCGGTAGCTGACTTATGAATGCTTCTATTACCTCTAAAATATATGTTGGAGCATTTGGCATGGTTTCATTACATTCATGGATGAGTGATCGTATGTGACATGTGACTTGTATTGTGTAGGGGTAGACATTTTTCCACTTCTCACTGTTTACACTTCTGAAAAGACAAATAACTATTGATATATTGACCAGTTATACTACAGAAATGTTCCTTTGTTTCCATTCTACATTACTACAATCAGGTGTGCAGAAAAAAATAAGTAATTAAAGAATGATTATATTTACCATTCAGACTATATTTGCATTCTTTTGTTCACTTTCTACATAAATGAAAAATTCCATCTGCATGTATTTTCTAGATTTTGAAGATAAATTCTAATCTAATGTTTCCATAGAATGGATAGATATATCTAACATCACTCTTTAATCACATTTCAAAATTGAGACTCCATCCTTTTTATGGACAAAAAAAAGTTGGAATCTATTCCTTACAGTCAATTGGTATAATTTTTATTCATGTGTTCAGTAAGTATTTAATAACATTTGGTATTCACATTTAAAGAAAATCAGATAATTAGTTCATTCCCATTTTCACTAATGCAAAAAAATGAAAAATGGTTTGATTTGGTGTAATTTTTCAAATAATTTATAGGTCAATGGGAGATAATCAAAATTTAAAGAAATAGTTTGTAACAGGTTGTAATGATCAATACAGAGATAATTTTTCAAAGTCCAGGTACAGGTCTACAAAACATGTGAATTTTACTAACATACAATACAAAGCACACTTACAATATGGAAGTGTAGCTGACAATTAAAAAAATAACTGAGAAACGGTGTAAACTGATCAGCCAACAAAAATAAAACTTCAAGTTATTGGAATTATGTCTATAACAATATTCTGTTTTAAAAATTCCTGTTTTTTTGTACACCTATAATTATTTTGTGTGTTTTCTTCACTTTTGCATTTTCATCTTATTTAAATTTCTCAGTTTTGAAAAAAAAAAACTATTTGTAATTTTTTTTTGCTTATAACTTTAGGTTTCGATGTTCTGTCTATGTTTTTCTTAGTACCAGTAATCTTGAAGTATGAAAAAAGTTTCAACCTAGTATTTTGTTCTTACTGGTTCTCTTTTGTTTCTACTTCTCAGTTATTGCATTAATTTTTGATGTAATAATGTAATAAATAAGGAATTAACTTACTTGTATAACTTAGAGAATTCTCCACTGATTAAATGAGATTCATTACGTATTGTGTTAATTGAACCTGAAACAAGAAAAATAAACACATAACTAACATCATAGAAAATAAATGAGCATCCTTTCCTCAATAATTTTCTATTTAGGCCAAATATCTATCTCATGATTACCATTTCAAATAAGTTTGGATAAGGTTTGTTTTGTTGGTTTTTTGGTGATTAATTAAAAGTCAACAGTACAAAAGTTTAATGAATGCCACTTTGATGACTTAAATTTCATCCCGCCAAAAGTGTGTGTGCATTGGGGGAGGTGGGTGGAGAGGTCTATGTGCACATTAAAATAGTTTAATCCCACCACATTGTTGTGCCGTTACCAAGTCAGGCTATCTAACCATGTTTCTTTCTCTCAAAGAATCAATGTTGATTTGGTCTTTTGTACTGTCTAATATTTTTGCTAATTCCTGTTATCTTTTTCTCATGTTTTTATCTATGGGTTTCTGTTATTTCATCTTAAGTTTATGCTTTATTTGTGTTGTGGGTAAACTCTTTTAATCATTTTCTTTTGGTCAGCCTGTTGTCTGTCCTTTTTGAACTTAAGAATTTGATATCAATCTTTTTTCACGGATGATAGTGGTGATGGATCATTATCAAGTGACCTCCCGCAAACATGCTACCATGACACCATGGAGGTAGATTTTTCATGAAAGAAGTTGAAAATATTTGTTTCATTAAAGACTTTTAAAAATACATAAATCTCCTGAAAACATGAAATAAATATGTCAATAAATGTCGAGCATTTTAAATCATAAGAATATATTTGGATATAATGGAGAGATATTTGGTAAAAATCATTAAGACAACAACCCAAAAACAATATTCAACCAAAATAAGCATGTTTACCATGAATACAGGTTAAACTACTTGTAACAAGAGAAATTTCATATTTTAATTCTTTACTATTCTCTCACAAAGTTTACCATGTTTACTTGAATGAAATAACATAACAATTAATGAAATTTGAATTATTACCAAAATAGATATCATTGGCAAAGGAATACATATTGGGATTAATTGTGACTTAATAATTAATGCTACTACAATCTAAAATCAATATATAAATTCTAAAGTATCAACAAAAAAGTAGGAGTTGTATAATCACATAGTATATATTGTGATGGTTAATTATGTAAATCAACACTTTATCCTTATAATTATCCTCTTACAAACATACTTCTGCAACATTCTATTGTGTAAATGAACACTTTATCCTAATCCATATATAAACCAACCCATAAATTACATATGAATCAGAAACGTCTATTATTAATCACAATAAAATGTTTATATCGTTAACATGATAACCTATTAAAACCTATTAAAATATTTAATTTTAATCAATACAGTTCATTCGATTTGCAATTTTAATTTATTCAACATACAATATTGACAATGATTCGTCGCACAAATTAAACCATAATCCACTTATAAAATAAGGGGAATCTGATGCGGATGACAAAATTTTGGTGGTCTCTATCAAATTTATTTATAATAACTTCAAATGTTTACAGATGCTATCACAAGTTGGAATATCTGTTTCACATATGACGATGGAAATGTTCCAATTGTCAAAACCTCAATCCTTTCTCTTTCTTCAAATTTGTCACCACCAAATTAGACTTGTCATCAAATTTGCACTTACATGAGCAACACAAGGGGTGCCTCATGTGGAGCAGTATCTCCTCATCCTTACTGAGCACCTCCTATAACACCAGATTATAGAAGGGTTCATGTTGCTCAGTCTTAAGTTTTCTATGTTAAGTTTTGTAGACTGCTGTTTGTCGTTTGGTCTGTTTTTTGCCATAGCATTGTCAGTTGGTTTTCAACTTATGAGTTTGAATATCCCTTTGGCATTCTGCCTGTCTATGACTAGACTATGGGTGATAATAAGCTTGAGATACTATATAGATACAGTTATCAATAGTTAGGAGTGTATGTTGATATATTTTTTTGTGTTGTTACCTTGCTGTCACACTGATGTATGCCCAACCATCACCTTTTATTCCTTTATACAAATAAAGGATGAATGTTTATCTCTAAACAAAAAGCTAGCATGCTACTCTCAACAAACATCAACCTCAACTAGTTTAGATTGAATATAAACGATCAATTTCTTTTAAATTTACTGGATTTATATTTGTTCAAACTATTAAACTTTATAAGTCCACAGTCCAATATCCATTTAACAATCCTGAACCTTTAAGAACTCTGATAACTTCTTGTCATCAAATAATATTATACAAAAAAAGGGGGGTGGAAGCAGACAGGCCTTGAAGACAGGGAAGACTTATAAAGTGACAAAAAAAAATATTGGGAGACTTGAACGAATTTAAATTTAAGAACAGGGCATACAATCAAATAGAGAAAAGCACTTAAGGGGGCTTGCGGGTATAAATCCATTTTTTTTTTAAATATAGGATTTCCCTATTTTTTTCTTTAAATTAACTGTATCATATACTTAATAGAAAAATAAAATAAAAAAATGGGGTCACCGTTCATTTAAGCTCACAATCAACCTTTGAAAGAAGCATGCATTTTTGTTAAGGTGCTTTTTTTCTGTTGAACTAATAAATGGTTTACTGTATCACTCTTCTGCAAGTTTCATCACAGACAACACAAGACTATAAGGCAGATTCGGGATATATAAAATATATAAAATACATTGTACTTTCTAAATACCACATCGGTGGTCTTGTGCTTGTCGCTAGTGCGAGAGGTCGTGGGTCAAACGGTGACTCAAACCAGACTTGAAAATTAGTAAATAGAGAAATAGAGGTAATAACGAAATAAAAAAAAGAACTAAATTACAGAAATCGCTTAAATTTTACAATTGTTTAGTTTAAGTACAGCTTATTTGAAAAAAATAATAAAAATTATAGGTCACTGATGAGTTTAAAAAGATATTTCAATTTTAATGCCAAAAAATGTCATTTTTGCATCAAAGGGTGATAATTTGGAGCTTTTTTAATGATATAAACATTTTAAGTCATCTGGGGCCAAAACGAATTGATTTTTATGGTTGATTTTTGTACCATATCATAAAGTAACAACTAATAGTGTAATAAATAAAAATTGTAATGAAAAAAAATAATGTTTAAATTTTTGATGAAATTTTTGTAGCCTCCTTATCTCTAAAATAACAGTAAGCTGAATAACATATTGATGAGTGTGGGAAAATACCCCCAAAATAACAGGAACTGAATAACATGAATAACATATTAATTGAAAAAACACTCAAAAATAGTGAGAGAAAAAAGGTCATAAACCTCATCCATAATATAATAAGACAACATACTTCTTATAGCTGCTGAATTGATGGCATATTTATCCATGTGTTTGAGGATAGATTTGCCCTGTAAGACTGACATACACTCCATCTCTACAGCCCCTTGTATGTCTAATAGCCATTGGTCCACAGGGTCTATTATTAAAGAATGTCTCATAGTGTTTGGTGCTGGACTGAAATGTAAAAACTTTCAAATAAAGCACACATATAAAGAGATAGTTTTGTTTTCATGTATGCATTTATAACAAAGAAGGGTTAAAATTTTACTTGTTGACCAACACTTAATCATTTGAACATGAAAGAATCTAAAAGGCATAATCATCTGGTGCTATTTTGTTTCAAATCTGAAAATCTGTGTTATCTATCATGTCTATAGATTGAGAAAAAAATATGTTTACTAGTTTTAAAATTGCCATGGAACAATATCTATTGAATATGAATTAAAGGAAATTTTGGATCTACGTTAATGAGTCAGCAAGCCAATCAGGCAATGACAACAACAAAACAACCCAGACCCAGCATCTGTCTGGAAATACCATGTACCCTTTAGAAAATATAGCAGAAATCATGACATCTTATACTTCATGGGAAAATATGTTGTCTAGCCTGGTATTGCTGATAACAGTGTAAAAAAAGTGTAATATTAATCAGTAAATAGAGATTTTTTTTAATTCAAGCTTTTTCTTCAGCTGTAATTTCCTGATGATAAAGAAGCTTCTGTCTAAGTTTTGTAACATTCCATGAGGGTTTGACATAGTTATTGATGTCTTAAAAAATAAAACCCCAGACTATTATGACTATTAAAATGTTAACTCGCTGCAAAAAAAACCCCAAGTAAGTCAGTATTTATCAGAAAAACACTGAAAAATGGAAAAAGAAATATTTTCAAATTTTTGTGCTAAAACCGTTTTGGTGATAAACATGAAGAATTTTAATTTACATATATGTCCAAGTTTTGTAAAACTCCAAAACATTTGAACAATATTGATGACAAAATCTTTAACTCCATACACTAGGAAAGCCATATGGTTATAGTGCCCGATTAATGGCAAGAACGCCAGATTATGGTTAATAAATAACCATAATTCGTAATTATAGATGTTTGACACAGAAATAGACGTCCTCCTCTGACTTAAGACGTTTGCTGTATTTTTAGACTTTCGTCCGGCGTTTTAGATGTTTGCCGTAATCCCTCTCATACTCTTAGATAACGATGTCCCTTTAATAACTCGCGCGAACGACGTGTGTATTATTTAACATTAGCTATAGTATTTTTAAAAGTGTTTCAGTTAATACACATGATTTATCGTGTCGACGGGAATTAGCTGTTTGTCCGATAAAACTGATGTGTATTGAGTCGTCAATAGAACCAGTGAAGCGTGAGCGACGGTTATAAATACATCAATAAAATGTAGAACAGATATATATATATATATTCAATGCAAATCAGAATCTGTTAAACTTAACCATCTTATTTCCGATGTTTTTGAAAATATAGTTACTTGTAAATGAAGACAGAAACAGATAGTATAGATCTATGGTTAAGACAGAGACATATAATATAAAATGTCGCTGGTTTAGATGATAACATCTTTTTTCGTTTTCTTTTATCAGTGTTGCAGGTTTTTTTCAAATTAAGGGGAAAGATCGAAATACAAATACGGAACGCTTTTAAGCATTGCTTTTCTGATGAAATAACTATCGATTTTTTTTTCATTGGTCAATAATAAAAATCTATTTTAATACGACCAATGTAAACGATGAATACACGTGGTACCTTTGTAATACACAACTGCAAATATCTATGAATGGAAGTCGTTTTACGTAAAACAAAAAACGTAAATTGAACTTATAGCTATGATAGATACATAACGTTAACCGATAGTTTGGGTCAGAATGTGATTTTTTTTTATCAAATTAAATTCGTCTTTAATTGCCATGTTTAGTAAAATAAATCAGTTATGTCTATTTTTGGTCCTTGTCCCGGAAAACTAAATACATATTGGTCACGGAAACACAGAAGTATATGGATAATGTCATTAGTGAAAAAAATTGTTGGGCTTGACTTGAAGAATTTGTCAGGTTTCTACTCTGCAGCTATAATGGAAAACGCGTATCCCTCAATTCCGTGATGGACATTAATTAAAGTTTGCTGAAATTTCTTATGAACACATACAATTAAATGATCGCGACATGTCACCTAGATAATGTCCCGTTGATCTGCGAAGTCGGCATTGACAGTCTATTATTGGGAATTTAAGATTTTAAAATCAATTCCAATACTGAAGTTTGCTATCTTTAGTGAGAGCAATTAAGACAAGCAACGAGGTCTATCAAGGTCTGTGTGTAGAATTTTAAATAAAAATTTAAACATTTGTTTATTTATAACAAATTTATATTGTGATAATTACATTACTTGTGTTGATTCAACGGAAAATATTTTAATTTTGTCTTCCTATAAAAAGTGAACTGTTTTTACTAATTGAAAACATGCTATCCTTTATTGTACCCCGATTTATATGTTACATAGATTACAATACCTGTCAATCATTACCCCGAGATGTTTGAGAACGCATGACTGGTTGTCCTAAATACAAAATGTATTAGACAACGCACACCTACTATTATAAACAAATTTGTGTCCAGTTTAAACGTCAACAGGTAAACAGAAGTGTGTTAATTGAACACTTGCATAACTGCTGCGGTTACATTTTTAATTATTTTCATTGATTGTTGAATAATAGTTTAGACGAAGCAATTTAAATTGATTGCAAACATCATATGTAATTAATGTACTTTAATGCATTAATTTCAAAAAGATAGGACGTCATCGGACTGTCTGATTATTGTCTTCGACGCGATTTTATTAAATATATATGACACAAAGTTTTTAAGATGCAAACTTCCCCTAACTTTTTAAATGTTAAAATTAAAAGTATGATTTCGTTCTAACATGTCTAAAGCAAATTACTAACTGACATATTTCTACTCACTTTGGACTGATTGGAAGTTTGTCGTTACACAGCCTTCACGCTTAACTTTGGAGTCCACAAGCCAGAAGCTCAATTTTTTAAAAATTTTAGTTGGATTCTGTGGCTTGTAGAGAAGACTTTTACAAGCCCGAAAGCAATTTTACAAGCCATAGCCATAGGACTTGTGGTTAAGCGTGAAAACTGGTTACAAGTCCAGTGGCAAATATTTTGTAAATATATTTCTTTCTGATAAATAATGTTGTAGATTAAAGTTTTTATTTATTTATTGCTAAGGGTAAACTTTCCGCCTTCAAAATCCTGGGACTGTTTTAGAACAGATAAAAAATACAAAATACACACGAAAACGATCTCGAAATGTCAAAATGTAGAAGTTAGACAGCAATTCATTTAGATCTTTGTATGCCCCATTTATGGACATTGTGTTAGTTTAAACATATTTATTTATAGAGGATTGGGAAACAAGTTATTGCAACTTATATTAATCCCTTTCCACTTTGCGAGTGCTGCCTTGTAGCGGCATTAGCCTGCTCTTTTTCGAAATCTACAAGGGTGTCTTTTACGTGCAAGAGATATTACTCTCTCATAACACGGGCCATACTCGCAAAAGGTGTCAAGAGAGAGCCGAAAATTCAGTCCTAAGAACGGACATTATGTTTTCTGGTCTATGCATCTGTACGTCCGTTCGTCCGTTCGTTCGTCTGTCCCGCTTCAGGTTAAAGTTTTTGGTCAAAGAAGTTTTAGATGAAGTTAACGTCCAATCAACTTGAAACTTAGTACATATGTTCCCTATGATATGATCTTTCTAATAATTATGCCAAATTAGAGTTTTGACCCCAATTTCACGGTCCACTAATAAAATTGAGAATGGAAATGGGGAATGTGTCAAAGAGACAACAACCCGACCAAAGAGCAGATAAAAGCCGAAGGTCACCAAAGGGTCTTCAAGGCAGCGAGAAAATCCCGCACACGAACATAGAAAATGATAGTGCGGGTGGGGCATTTGTGTACTATGGACACATTCTTGTTCATTCTTGAAATAACAATGTCTTTAGAAGGAGCAGATGCACTAGACACGGACATAACTAATGCTATTCGGAAGGCTCAAAAGAACAGGAGAGTATTCCATTTTTTTATTATTTGTAAATAATGTTTTCAATTTTACACTGCAGTTTAGCATTTGATAATTCATTGATAACATTCTGGTGTAACACAAACAAACAACTTGTAACGTCCCATTTCATTGGCCGAAAGATTCAAATACAACAACAATCGTAGTGTGCACGTGAATTGACACAGGTGACCGACAATGGAATGTACTATGTTTTACTACGAACGTAAACAGGTTTGTGTACTGCTGTGTTATCGCCTGATTTAAAAATAACGGGGTAGAAATATTATCCTTGTGATATATTTTTTGTATTTATAAATGTTCTCTTTGCAACAACCCAATTATCATGTACCGGATTATGAAAAATATTAGCATAGGCGGATCCAATTTGTGGGAAAAATTTGGTTGATTATATGGGGAATCACTGAAGCATGACTGGAGCCCCCCCCCCCCCCCCCCCCCCTTTATGAAAAGTTCTGGATCCGCCACTGATAAGGATAAATACATGTGCCACATTTATACTGATAAATAAATGAACCACTTTTAAATTTCTTTCACACTGACGGGATACAATTATATCCTACCTTATTGTCTCGACAATGTTTTAGTTACATGTAATAAAGATCTCATAATAAAAATAATTCATGATGGGTTTCACATTTCTCCCAAAACTTGGAATTGAATGAATTTATCGAGAAACATGAAATTGAAGGTTAACAAATTTAGTATGCTTATTATAAATGAAGTACAAAATAATACATGTACAATAAACTGTTAAACCAAATATAAAGAAATTTAAGGATGACAAAATAAATGTACATGGAGGGACCCATTTTCACCTTTTTATTAATACATTTAATGAATGAACACAATTTCTTTAAACATGTTCAATTGATTGTTTTTCATTACCAATTAGCGAGTTCGTTGACATAATACTTGGTTTTCTATGTAAATCTATGTAAATATTTTCATCACCTACATCGCCGGAGTTACAAACATGTGTAAAGTACATTTCCTTTCATTGTGGCCAGTGTTTTGCTATCTCCATTTTCCTCAAAAGAAAGCATAGTTA